CCTCGTTTTAATCAGAAATTTACGGACTACAATTACGCCTCATTAAGAAAGCTTTTGGTTGTTCTTTAGAGCTTCTCGAAAACTGGTTTTCCAGAAGATCGGTCTTTGAAGGCCTAGCAGCAGCATTCATGGTGATATTCGGAATCAGCATCGTCGACTACCTATAGTCCACTCAGTTTCGTTGAAAAAGCGACTTATCAGTTGGGGTACTTAAAAGGCGTATTTTCGTTTTTTGCCAAATGTCCGCATGAATGCCCACCGTGCCCCCTTCCCCCTCCCTTAAGCCAGATATCATTGTTTCTTGTTATAGAGTTTTACTCAAAAGCGTGTAATTTATATTGCACAATTTGTTATACATTTTGCTAAACATATTTTGTTAGAAATCTTAAGAAGCTGTGATGCTTAAAAAACATGAAACACTTTGCTTTTAGCAAAAAGAAATTAAAATGCCTAACAAAAAACATAATTTATGATCGTGCGCACATAACAGATAATAAAATTTTACTATGGCGTAATTAGACGTTCTTCTTTTTTTGTTATATAAACTTTTTTATTTCGAAGAAAATAACAGAACAAATCGAGATAGTTGTCACATTACGTGTTCATAGTTTGCTTTACATGACTAAATCTCAAGTTTATATCGTTACTGCAAAGATGATGGAGAAATTAGTCTTGTATTTTTCTATATTTCTACCAGACCACTCAGTTTTAAAATTTTTTATTTAAAATAGCAGTTGTACACACTAATGTCACATCGATGAAAAGACAATGAAAAGAGATGAAGAAAAACATTTAGTATATAGTAAAATATAGATATATGAGTAAATGTACTTTTGTACTTTTATTTTTATGATCAAATTTTCCAGCATGAATCTCACATTTTTATTTCTCAACAAAGTATAATGTACAACACAAACAAATTCATTGAAATATTAAAGAAATGAACAATATTTTCACAGTTTTATTTATATCTATTTACAAATTTAAAGCTGTACTAATTTTGTTGGGACGCCTTCTTGCTTTTCGTTTGCCTAATGGTTTTGAAATTTATTTAACTTGTATCAAGTTAGCGACAAAACATGTATTCAACCATTAGGCAAATGAAAAGCAAAAGGGCGTCCTAAGAAACTTAGCACAGCTTTAAATTTGTAAATAGATATAAATAAAACTGTGAAAATATTGTTCATTTCTTTAATATTTCAATGAATATGTTTGTGTTGTACATTATACTTTGTTGAGAAAAAAAATGTGAGATTCATGCTGGAAAATTTGGTGATAAAAAAATTGATACCCTAGATATATTTGTATATGTATATACATTAAGATAATGTTGTGTTAAAAAGAAAAAATTGGAACCTATTTTAACGAAAAGGCAAAAAAATAAAATAAGATAAAATAATGAGAAGCAAAAATAAACAAAGGAAGACAGAGTGAGTAATGACTAGTGACTGACTGGAAAACAGATACAATTAGTGAAGGAACGAAAGAAACAACATCGACTAGAGGTTAGCTGTATAGTGAGAAGAAGAATATGAAGAAAAAATGTTACTCGAAATGCTATCCTAATAAAATAAAAGCAAACGAGAGTAAGGTTGAGAAAAAATATACATGTTTAGATCTTTAAATCATAAAGTAGAATTACAAGATAAAATTACGGAAAAACAAAAATAAACGTTTATGAATAAAAGCTTTCTACTGTGGTTAAAATTAGTCGAAACCAAATCAATCGGTTTGTAAATAAATAAATAAAATAATGAAAAACAAAACTGTGGAATGCCAATTTCATTTTTTTTACTCAATTTCTTATCTTTAAATCGTTTTCTTTTCAACGCTTTACCGAAGATGAATTACTTATGGTATCGCCATCGACAAGAGGTGCTACATAAGACGGCGAGGTTGTAGACGAAGTACTTGTCGACCTACGTGAGTGTAATTTTTGTCTTGGTCCACCTGCTGGTATGCGCATAGATCCACCACCTTTAACGTTTGCTCCTTGATCACTTAATGAAACAGTCGTACCTATACTAGTTTGTGGAATAACTGGTTTAACAGCTTTAACTTTGGAATAAATCCATGCTAGAAAATGAATAAAACACCAACATAGAGAACAATGTTAACAATGAGTAAATGAATGCAAACAAAACATAAGCACACGTATATGGTTTAAGAGCATATTAGAGACAGTTAAAAATAAAGCAACATTTTGGAGATAATGAACCGTTGTGCTGCTACACATTCGGTTAATCAACGACTCAAAAGAATATAATCTAATAAGATATCTATGAGGTTATATAGTAACCAAGATTTCAGAGTGCAACAAATTTTCGTTCAACCAATGTGGTTTCTTGAGTATTTTTCAAAAAATCAAAAGCTTGAACTTTTATTTCAGGTTTTGATACACTTAAAACAAAAGAAGCACATTTCATTTACAAAAACTAAAAAGAGGCAAAAAACGACAGAAAGCCTTTGCCAATATATATTTAAATTTTGTTCCTTAAGAGGATTGATGGCAAAGACCATGCATCTCAAACGTTTAAAAGAAGAAGGTAACTGACTGAAGAACACATAAAAGTGCCACAAAAATGAACGCATTCATTAAGAAGGCTACACAAGCTAACCACACGAACAACAATTATGATATACAGAACAACATTTATGATATTTTACCGATTAAAATAATCGTAAATATCGTAGCGACTATTCCGAGTATGATCATCATCTATTCAATCCGAGAAGACAGTGAGAAACATTTTATCATATTGTTTTTGCTCGTTTCAGTTAAATATACTTTACCTTAATATTCTTCCACCAAAATTTTCTTTTTAATTTTCCGGCTTGTTGTTCAAATTGAGCCGCATTATATTGCAACTGATCTGAGAAACATAAGAAAAATAGAAGTGAAGAGATGAACACTTATTATTTATCCACACTCTAACTCATTCAGCAATTCTCTCTCACCGGCACGATCATCTAATATCGATAAATTTTTATCTCTTTCTAATACTTTATCTACATTTTGTCGCATAATATCAACAACTTCATCAACTTGGGCTTGAGTTTGAGCTAACCGTTTACTTCCTTGCCCTCCAACACCAGGACCACCTCCAGCTTTATCACCGTTGCTGGTCCTAAAATGGAATATAGAAAAACAACTGGAGTGCTTATGGTACGAATGAAAAATAATACAGGTGTTTTTTGCAAAACTAAAACTAAAACCTACATTATTTAATATGTGAACAGAATTAATGATATTCTTCCTTAAATATTAGCGTTGAATTGCTAATCTAGAACGAGAAATTGTTTTAAACTATGAGCGAACTATGTTATTTAAAAGATAATAATAAGGCAGAAATAAACGATTTTGATAAGATTATTTAAAGCAAAGAGGCTACAATTAATGCAAGCTCTAGTATATTGATCCTGATCCACAAAATAGAATTACAATAGCCAAAACCGGTTAACAGCAATTGTCAGAAAGCTTATGGTTTTATGATTTATACTTCCTGATTTCTCACTATGTCCAAAACTCACTTAGTCCAAAAAGTTGAATAAACAATCCAGTTGGGTTTAAAAGACGGCTGACACAGAAAATCTGCCTGTCAAAGAGTGTACTTTTATTAATCGGACATTAGTACGTCAGTGGTTATAAGAACATGTTTCGTGCAATTCCCATTATGATCAGAAGATTAATTAGGAGAAAACGCCTTGATACTTTTTATAATATGTCGCATTCCACTAGTGGAATCATACAACACCCTCCACTCAGCCGAGATAGAACCTTAACACACCAAAATCTGAATAAGTTCATGTAATAATGTACAGCAGTCGAAAAGGATGTGCATCCCTGACGTTGAGTAGAATAATAGTTATATGCTCAATGTCTTTGGTTTTGGAAGATCTGCATTTAAATTTTGCTGGTTTACAAAAAGCTGTACGACAATAAAAAATTCTGTGTACAAAGTTCATGAACAACAATATAAAAAAGAGAAAGACCTAGTTTCATTTCAAAAACGATAAATTAGCGCTGTTTTTCTTTCATTTTTTCGTGCAAAAGCAGCGCAGAAACTGTCGAACGCAAAAATCATTAGCAACAAAATGATTGAAGATCACAAACACAAACAACAAATTAAGGAGAAAAAAGTACACTGTCATTGCGCTTCATAAATAAAAACAAAAGATATACAAATGTAAACAATAGTATGGTTCAAAAAGAAAGTTCTCATTCAAAAAAATAAGATCGTATAGAAAAGTTGATAATGAAACAAAAAGAGAGTTCTAGATTGTTGTGAGAAACGTAGATACATATATATGCAAAAGCTTTAGTTCTTTGTGGAAGATCTTAGAAGTACAGTGAAAACTAATCGATTTTAACCTATTCTCTGAATCCTCAACAAATGAGATTATCAGCATTTTCTTAAATTTTCGTATACAACGTATAAAGTTATTTTTCTTTAGTTGTTATAATGACAGTGAGATTATTTATGCTTTTGTGTGAAATAAATAAGCACCAATGCGTTCGTATATACAATATAACGTAGAAGGTATTACTACCTTCCTCCTCCCCCACAACATCCACCACCTCTTTGATTGGTCTGTTCTGCTGATATATCAACTGACTGACTGTGAATGTTTGTATTTGTTGATTTTGGACCTGATTTCACACCATCCCATCCAGTCTGGACGTGTATTCTTCCGTCTATAAGCATGTCATAAATTTCTTTAGCTATCAATACAAAACATTCCTGCACGTATAGACTAGATTTGGCTGATGTTTCGATGAATGAAATGTCATGAAAATCGGCGAATGCTTTTGCTTCTTCTGTAGTAACCTGTCGTTCGTTTTCTAAAACAAAACAAACGTCAATAACTTGAAAAGTCAAAGATGCTCCTTTTTCTCTAGAGTTTTTTATTGTACAAAAAACAGAGCCAGTTTCGAGTGAAAAAATATCACTAATAAAGAAATAACGAACCACGATCAATTTTAGTGCCAACTAATAAAAATACAGCTTGATAAGGTTGAATTTGTTGTCTAGCTTCATTCAGCCAATTCGTTACATGGGTGAAGGAAGTGTAGCTCGTCGTGTCATATATTAACAAAACTCCAACAGAATTACGATAATAAGCACTGAGAATAGAAGAAAAATAATAATAGGTTAGGATTGTGCCGGAATGTTAAACTTACGAACCGAGTTATCGACCGGAATCGTTCTTGTCCGGCAGTGTCCCATAGCTGTAGTTTTGCAAACACACCAGGCTTTACTTCAACGATTCTAACATTGAAATCTACGCCAACCGTCGGATCTGGATCATTTGAAAACACACCATCGCAAAAGTTTCTCAATAACGAGGACTAGATAAATGAAAAAAAAATATTCATTGAACAATACCATCCTGGAGTATTTTACATTCATATTTCACTTACTTTTCCAACAGTAGAATCACCAACGACAATCAAACGAAATTGGTAGTCATAATTATAAAAACTTTCCATTTTAATAGTTAGACTATAACGCAAAAGAACAGATGAAATACTACAAGATCAAATAAATCGTGATTATGTACCAAACGTAAAAAGTAATTTAATTCTACAAGAACTACTCATAGTAGAAAAAGTGTAAGATCATATTGACTTATACCGAAGTGCAGAGCGAAGGATGCTAATTAAAGTAAAACTATTTGGAACACTTGTCTTCAATCTACTACTGTTGGAACGAACAGTTTACTACAGAGAGTACAATAGTTAATACACATATAGGGATTGCCACATGATAAGACCCTCGTAAGACCTTTATGTCAGAAGACAGAATGAAAAACCCAGATCTTTTATTGTAATAACCGCCTCCTTACATGTTTTCCGTTTCAGAAGAATTCTATCTGCGGTTAATTCCCAGCATACTATTCAACTATCATGCAGAAACAAGAGTTTTAACCACTGTAAAACAGAAAAAAACCAAAGTAAATAAATTAGATGAGGGAAAAAATTTGTTTAGTTCAGTCCAGCGTACTGCTTTTAATACGTATGTGGTTATTTTACACTTTTTACTTGACATACAAAAACTTTACACTGAGGAAGCTTAGCTGACGATTAAAGAAGTTCAGTTACTGTCTCCTGATGGAGAATATATAAGAGTTCTTTACTGAACGTTGTTTCTATTATCATACAAAAAAAAATTCTGAATTAAAGGAACTAAAGCGAGTCAATGTTATGCCTTTTCAATCACGGATTATTAAACGTTTCCAGCTATCAGAAAACAAAACGAGCGTTCTCGAATGTCTTTAGAAGTACAACACAATCATTCTTTGTGCACTGTTCCCTAGTGACAATTTTGTTTGTTCATTATCCTATTCAAAACACTGACTCAGGGTGTACAAAGTAGAAGAAATAACCGGTGAATTATTACCAAATTCATTATCTTCTATTCAACGAAATAATTAATTAAATTAAAACAAGTCATACGCTTCTTCAACGTCATATGGTGTACATTTTCGCAGTTGGATCGTAATTTCGCGAATTAGTAGTGAATTTTTTGTCTCCGCCCTTTGCAGCCATTAACTCAAGAGATGTCGTGATGAATCAGTCACTCAACTTTAGCTGTATAAGAAACGATTTTATGCTGTGTAACAGTTTCCTGAAACGTTTTTGATATTGATTTTATATTTATGTTTATTTTTCTGATAAGAAACTTGAGAGTGATTTCCTTTTAGTTATTTATTTTCACTTCCTGCACAGTTATTAAAATGTTAATATTTACCAACTTTTTAGATGAAATAGTAGAATATTATCTATTGGTTATGCCACGACAATCATTTTTCTCAATGACATGACAAAGCCACAGATTGTTATTTAAAACTCTTCCGAGAACATACGGTAGAGTTGTTTTCTTAGATTTTCTCTAGTATAGTCGAATCAATTTTTATCACTTCTCATGAACTTCAATGTTACTCTATCTATAAATGTGGCTTGTATTGTGACTATTTCTAACAGTTCATTCAACCTCACTGCTGTTCGAAGACGTGTGACTCAGTCAGTCACACACGCATTGGGCTAATCCCACGAACTGATTCAAAAAATAAATAGTAAACAAGAAAGATATTTATGGTGAAATATTAACTTTTCACGACTAGAAAAACTACCTGTAAATCCGGTGCTTTCCGATGCTCTTTTTGACAGTTCGATCCTTTCCATACAATTTCCGATCGGAATCTGGCCAATAGGATTCCGATGCAATCCACTACGGATCGGAACGGATTTTGTCGGAATCTGACGCGTTCGGTTGCCTTCCGACGTCAGATCCTGAGTCAGGAATGGCCGACCCGGGTGGTAAAAATCAGTGGGCATGCCATGCAATCGGTCACTGGCACTGGCTGACACCGATGCACACACGTGCCCGACAAGTGCCGAACTAGTAGATAGTGGACACTCAAGTGGACATTAGGTAAAAAAATGAAACTGATAAGTTAAAAGTTGTCATGAATGCCAAAAGTGCTGACTTGAAAAAGAACTTTTTGCGCAGTAGTTTCCTGCAAATGCACATGCTAAAAATTGAAGATTCCCCAGTTAGTTGAAAAGGCGTTTTGCCGTTTTCAGAAGCAGATATATGCAATGTAACGGCGCTTCGCCGTTTCTGTGACTGACTGGATCAGTGTAGGATTTTGTTTGTCCAAAGAGGAAGAACGACAACGATGATGAGAAGATGACTATATTTGAAATCAAGCGCTAAGGTACAACATTTGACAACCAGAAAGGAGAAAGCAGAATTATTCTTTCATGTACTGTTCAAAATCGCCAGCAGTTTCCTCTCGCCATCTCGAGAGAGCCGGACGACCGTGAGTAATATCGCGCAGATTCCAGGCCATGCGTTTGTTGTCCATCTCACTGGTTACAGCATTATCCGGACAGAGAATGTAAAACTGTTTCTGCTCGATTTTTTCGAACATATACGAGGCGACCTGATCTGCAGTCCACGCTGAATCCGGCTTGCTTGTTGAAGTGCCCCGAGTCATTCCGGTGTAAGTGTATCCCGGAATCAGAAGGTGCACACTGACGTTTGTTTTGCGGAGATCGTAGGAAAGACTTTCTGCCAGTGACTTGACAGCGGCTTTTGAAGCGTTGTATGCCGGATTTCCAGGCGGATTAGTGATTCCCTGTTTAGATCCGGTGATGACAACGGTTGCTCTTTTGTTTTCAATCAACGGAAGAAGAGCCGCGATTCCGTTGACTATGCCAAACAGATTGGTATCCATCAGCTTACGCCAGCCGTCCGGTTCGGTCCACGAAGGTTTGAGTCCGACTCCTGCATTGAGCATGACAAAGTCAACAGGCCGTTCTTTGATTGTATCTACCACTTTTTGCCATTCGGCTGCCTGCCCGACGTCGAACTGCAGTGTTTCCGCCTTTATATCTTTTCCAAACTCTCCTCGGTCGATCAGTAGAAGCGAGTGTGTTTTGGACAACTGCTGCGCCACGGCATGACCAATTCCAGATGCCGCACCCGTGATAACAGCAAGCGGTCTTGTCGCCATATTGTGCGCGAATTCAGAAAGTGTGCACGTTGAAAAATGGTAAAGTCAGGAGTAGTTCTCTCTATCGCTTCTGTGTCTAAAGATGAATGTAAGCAAATAAGAAAGTCAAAGAACACGTGAAGCTCGCAAAAAAACTCTAAGTGTACACAAACCGACAATCTTGAGATCATTTCTGACAGAATCTTGATTTCAGGACTTTCTTCCTGAGAAAGTTATCTTTTTCAGATTTTCAGTCAGAATCTGAGAAAAAGAACTCCTTTTCTTTCTTTGCGTTTTCTTAACTACGTTTGTTTTACTTATTCTTCGTAAACGAAGAAAATGCCACTTCACTTATTTCTTATCTTCATCATATTATTCTTCCGATTTTTTTCTATTTTAGACGCAAGAATCAGATCGATTTTTAAATAATCTCCTGGCTCAGGCCAGACTGGACTGATCTTGATTTCTTACAAAGAATCAGTGACCATAAATCTTGAAAATTTTCAAGATTCATGGTCACTGATTCTTGGTAAGTGATAAAAATTGATTTCACTATACTAGCGTAGGGAAAATCTAAGAAAACAACTCTACCGTATGTTCTCGGAAGAGTTTTAAATAACAATCTGTGGCTTTGTCATGTCATTGAGAAAAATGATTGTCGTGGCATAACCAATAGATAATATTCTACTATTTGTGGTTATGTCGTTATAGTACTCACTCAAACATCAACGATATCCAAACGACAATTCAAAAAAGAAGGAAATCTTTAACGACGCATTTCTCTTTCAATTCACATTATGTGAATTGAAAGAGAAATGCGTCGTAAATTAATTCATTTGAATATCGTTCACGCGCGACACCTAGCTTTTGTCTAATGTTTTGTTCCAGTATGGATGGATGCATGTTCCTGTTTCGACTACAATATTGTTCAATATCCATCTGGTCATTAGTTGTGTCAGGTCAACAGCAAACAATTCCGAGCATTTGACTTGATCGGTTAAAAATGATAAAAATCATGCGGTGCTTTGTTAATCAATTCCGTGAGAAATAATCTCAAGATTGTCGACTTGTGTGGTGACTATTTTTACTGACCGACCGACTTTATTGACGAAATTTGTTTGGTGTAACCATTGGATAAACCAATCAAATTTGGTCAGTAAAGTCGGTCGCTCAGTAAAAATAGTCACCATCAACGATTCAAATGCATTAGCGCAGAATCGACTTTTTATACGGAGGACAGAATCGACAAAATGTTTTCCTGAAGGGCTTATTATATGAATCAACGGTTAGCAAAGTATCTCTTGATTCAAATCACTTTTTGCATTTTGGGGTGGTGACTATTTTTACTGACCGACTGACTTAACTGACCAAATTTTATTGGTCTACCCCATGGTTACACCAATCAAATTTGGTCAGTGCTGACCGTCGATTCATATAATAAGCTCTTGAGGAAAAAATTTTGAACCAATTCTGTCCTCCGTGTAAAAAAGTCGATTTTGTGCTAACTGAGTTAGCAATATTGTATACTTCAAGAAAGACATTCTCTATCGGATGACAGAAAAAGTTTTATTACGAAGTTTCCGTTGCGTGAGAAAACAGCTAATCAAAAATTAGCCGGAAAACAGTAGTATCGACAAGAAAAATAAACTCTCAGAACAGTCATTGAAGTAATAACCGAAAACGACATATAGGTGGTGCCTGTTTTTCCTGACCGACCGACCTTACTGACCAAATTTGATTGGTGTAATTATGGGATAGACCAATCAAATCTGGTCAGTTAAGTCAGTCGGTCAGTAAAAATAGTTACCACCGACATATACTCTAGAGCTGCATGTGGTTAGCTACAGATTGGTAAAAAAGTTTTTTAATTTGCATTTATAATAGCCGAGAAAATAAACGAAAGTTTTTCTGAAGTGATTTTCCGAACGGCTACATTTAGTAAAGTGAACACGCACAGCTCCAAAAACGCTCAAACTTTTATAAAATGTTCATCTAGATGTCCTCCATCTATGGTGAATGCATAAAGATGCATAAATGCTCCTGGACCGTAGAACAATTTTTACAAAAGACCCTTCATGTTTTACGTATTTCCCATTTTTCTTGGTTCAGAAACATTTTTTTCCAAAAACAAAGTGACATTTTTGGAATCAACGCGAAAAACTGAATCGAACAGTGTGTATAATTTATGGTAAATGGAAAGAAAAAAAATTCTCGAGATGGAAGGTTTTCCGAAAACACGATATTTTTGATATGTATAGCATTTTTCTCGTCACAGAAACGTTTTTATTGAAGAGAAAGAACATATTCTGAATCATCGGGAGAAACTGCATCGAATGGGAATTCTGGAACGAGTACAACCGGCAATCAAAGGTAGAAATTTTTTTCGCAGGAAATTAGAAATTCGATAATTGCATCAGTGTTTAAAGCTCACAGAAATAACTTTCAACTACTGATACAACATTAGTCAATTATACTTCGTGTTGTTTCATCGACTGAATTAATTGATATAAAAAACTTTCTATGGCAATCTATGGAAAAATATTGATAAGATTCTTATATAAGGTAATCATAAGATTCGTATAAGAATACATAAAATACTTATAAGATTCTTATGCATATCACCGGATCGAAAAATTTCAAAAGCTTGTTCGGTCGAAACCGATTGCAGATTCGTTTTCTCCATGGTTGATTATGTGGTACGCAATAACTTTTGGATCGGAGTACTTTAGAAAAAAATTTTCCCATGGTCTTGCTCAAAAATTTTTCAAAATGTTACCGTATGGGACCAAAGGCAAAACGATGTCGAAAATTTTTTCTGAAGTACCCCGATCCAGAAGTTATCGCGTACCACATAATCAACCATGGTGAAGACGAATCTGCAATCGGTTTTGACCGAACAAGCTTTTAAAATTTTTCGATCCGGTGATATATACGGTATGTGCAATGCAGCTACTTAGAATCCATATTAGATTTCGGTAAGATTTGGTGAGAATTCCAGATGACTATTTTTCTGAATATTATTTGTGTTACTGAGGCATAACCAATGTGCTTCGTATTTGTACCCGGACGTTTTTTCGAGAACACGACGCATTTCTACAATACACAGCAATGTGATGAAGCCGGTATCGTTGATGATAATACTATGTTATAGTTGCATCTATTGCTGCCAAAAATGACTCCACTACTTATTTTTGTCACAAAACCGAACCACACAGACTGAGAAACAAGCTAAAGGATTGACATAAACGAAGACGCAGCTATACTACATTGAAGAGATAAAGATCTTTTGGGACTGTATATTGCGTCGCTGCGAAGGGGAACTCATAAATTTTTCTACAGTACAAAGTACTGAAGAGTTCAAAAGTAATTTTGAAAAATTAAAAGTTGAGTTGATTTATAAGTCGGGTTGAACGCAGGCAGAGTGCAGCCGTTTTATTCAGTCAACCTTTGATAATCTACCCTAGGGAACGTACTTGATTACTTGCCGAGCCTTGGGAAGTACTTGACAGGTTTCCTCTCTTAGTGAATACTTGAACAAGAACATGGCAAGTGTTTTTATTTCCCAAGTTCTTGTCTAAGTCAAATATCATCACTTGATTTGCTTCATTACATTTAAACATATTTTAGAAAATGATTAAGCGTTTTCTAAAATATGTTTATATGCAAAAGATAAACGGTCTTAAGCAAGTTTCACTGTTTTATGTCCGATAGGCGTGTTTAAACATTAACCAGTAAGCTGTAGGTTGCTGTTAAAGTTTTGCAACTAAAATGTGTGAGTTAAAGACTTTAGAAAATACTTCAGTAATCGCGTGTTTTTTTTGATTAATAAACGGGTTTAAACTAGTTTTAGTGGGATTGGTACCGTAAAAAGCAATCAGTGGGCTTCTAATCGTTTTCCGTTTTTTTGGAGGTGAAACAGATAAGTATACAGATATAATTCATAAGGAAGACCAAGCGGAACCGATATAGAATTGAGCGTGATTATCATGAAAAATAAGTTTGAACATATGAATAATAAGTTATTAATATAAGTTATCATATAGGGTTTGTATTTAAGTGATTCCGATGGATTTGAAACATTTTTTTAATATTCTCTTCTTAAAGATAAAACGGTTGGAGTTATACGGCGTAGAAGTGATCCGCTAAGGATACTGTTTTTAGTCATCTAGACCTTTCTTTGACTTTTTTAATGTATACGATAGATGTTGTCGTAAATCTGACGCTCTGTCTTTTCGAAAGAGTTCTGATATAAACGTTGGCGTTCATTTTTTTCTAAGCATAAATAAAATCTTCTATGATGGGATGAGGTCGTTTCCACGACTAGCCTTTGCAACAGAAAAGATAGGCCAAATGTGATCTTTCGTCCAGGGTTAGAGAGCGCTATACGTTGTTTCTAATCGTGTCGATGCAAACTTATTTTTACAACGGTTCTGGTAAATCATAAGAAAAAGACATACGGATAAAACAATAATTTTCTCATAGAAATTCATTTACAATTTCGGCTGCACAACAGAAAGGTAAGAAGACAAAAACCTTGATAGTGCAAAATATCGCAAATCCAAGTCTTCTCATTGTTGGAAGACCACATAGCTACTGCTAATAAATCTTCATGCTTTAAGTTTTCAATTTTTAAATGGTTTTAGCTGTTTAATTCCAAAGAATATATGTGATGCTTTGTTACACATATTAGGGGACGAATAAGTTAATAGAATTGTCACTGGTATATTGTTGGATGGGTAGATAAGACTAGTTTACCAGATAATTACATATCCAATAGCTGCCGCAGCCATCCTATCATGTGATACTCAGTGCTACGTTCACCATTTGACTATGAGTTTTTTCACAGTGGGCATTTTCCCATACAGCAGGCGGACATCTGATTTTTTGAGTTAGAAAATGATTATTTTAGCATAATATGGTCTTACTATGTGTCAGATATTAGTAGAAGTAAAAAAGTTCGAATTCGCAAAAAAAGTTTTTTGACAAAAAGTTCCTTAGGGGGACCCTTGCCCTGAATTTCTGCCAAAAAATGTTTTATTTGTAAAACTAACAAACTATACATCATTCGATGCTGTTTTTCATGCTGATTCCGAATATGTATATACTGTTCGGAAAAAATTGTATTTGAAGTGAAAAAATTGGTTTTTACCTCAGAAACCTGGGGTTTTGAAAAACCAATATCTCAGTCCAGGAAAATATGCGCACTTTTGCGCATTCACCATAGATGCACGGCCTCCCGAGGAACATTTTGGTATAAAAATACGTTAGTTCAGACCTGCGCTAAGCTGCGCTTTCTCGAAATACCGGAGAGAGCCTTTACAGCCTAGATCGTTTTCGAAAGAATCCATTCCAAAACTCTTAAGTTTCACTCGAAAAACAAAACTTTTTTAGTTTCGTATTCGTCTGACTGTGTTCTTTCCGAATATGATCTCGGTTTTATTCTAATTTACTATCCTTCAATAAAAATCGAAATTTTCCGAAAAAATAGCGCATTTACATGGTGTTTTTGCATTTCAAATCTTTTATAGAAGGAAAAGTTGTAGAATAAAAATTCTTTCGCCATTAAATCGGCCGTCACTCAAAGTATATGAAACACTATTTAAATTACGAAAAAGCAAGCTCACTGGTTTTTTCTAAATTTCTATCTGAATGCCCACTGTGTACTTGTAAAGAGTTTTATTAATAAATATAAAAAGATGGAAAAGACATGAAAAAAAGAAAAAAAATGGAACGAGACAAAAAAACAGACTTCATTGATCTATAGTCTAAGCTACGGTGAATCGAATAGAAATCAGAGTACAATATGTCTAGAAGGGGAAATCTGTCGAAATTTAAATAACAATTTGAAGGACTGCTGTAGTTATGTGTGGGACAAAAAGATGAACATGTAAAATAGAAAACAGAACAAAACACTGAAACATTCTCTAAATTTGAAAAAAGATGCATATAAAGAGTTAGAAATAAAATACAACAAGAGAATAACACAAACAGAATGAATGGATCAATTTCCAATGTGAACAACACGAGCAACATACACATAGGTTGAGCCAAAGGTGAAGCAATAACATTTAAACACACGACATTATATGGTTCAATTTGTTTAAACATTTGGTATTCGAGCAAGATGTTCAGTTTAGATATTAGCTTATATTCCTTGTGAAGAGATACCGATGGAAGTTAAAAGCAATGACTGCAAATATAGGATCGTCATTGTACTGTAGTTCTAAAAATACACAGCAGATGTCTATCCTTGTCAATAAAGAACATATTTTAACTTCATGATTGATCAACAAGAACATGTAAAGAAAATGCTGCAGTTATTTCGCCTTTATCATTCGATAATGTAACATGATATTGTCCTTCGTCGGTAGCTAACACAACAGGAATTTCCATTGAAAATTCTGGTTCTCCATCAACAAATACAAAGCGACTGGAATCACGGGCCAATGCTTTTCCTTGAAAGTTCCATTCAGCTGCAAAAAAACACAAATTTTATTATTTTATTGTACTGGCAATGTAAAAAGGTTTGTTAGCGTAGACATTAGTGGTTTAAAGGTGAAACTCCAATGCAAGCATCGGTAATTCTCGACTCTTATCATGTGCTGAATCTTAGCTTTTTCAAAAAAGAAACAGATGATATAAACAGTTTAAGCTAATCAATATCATAGTGATACATTCTTCTTAAATACAAATTCATTTGGTATACACCTACGAAACTAGTATTTTAACCTATTTTGTCTTCTTCCTCTTCCTCTGTCACTTCCTTGATATGTTGTACCATATCGAAAGTTCAAAGTCCGCTCTTAGGATTTCTCCGCTCTCTTCACAGACCTTACTCGTGCAGATGACAGAATCCCACTTTTCGAATAATAATAGATTTGATAGATCTCTCATATTTTCAATATTACGGTTCCCATTATGTGATTCATCTATTTCTTTTATCCAAAGTTCGCTGTTTCCTCATGGAGAAATTCTCTCAAAAAGGTTGGTCCGTTGCCCTCCTGGTATACTAAAATTATTCGTCCGTCTCACAAAAGTCTCTTACCAGTCATTGGTGCTGAGCCCGACAATTTACAGGTAAATTTTGCTTTTCCACTTTCATCAATTGTTAGATTTTGTGGAAATTCAACAAATGTTGGATCAAGTGGTTCTTCATCTTTCGCTTAAACGCAACAGAGAAAACATATTAGAATGATCAAAAAAATTACATGATTAATTCTTACCTTGTATAATTACAGAACATGACGATAAACGTGTGCTAGTCGCATTTTTTAACAGAGCAGAGAACACGCCACTGTCTTCAGAAAATACTTCTGAAACATTTAATCTAAAATTATCACCGTCACGTTCTCGTTTAAAATCTGGATTTTCCGGTATTTCTTTGTTATTTCGTAACCATACGAGCTCTAACTCATCGCCTAAATTCACAAAAATATCGCTTACAAAACTGCATGTATATATACCGAGATACTAGCAACTCTTACCAGTGCAAGTACAATCCAATATAAGACGGTCACCTTCCATTAAATTTTGTGAATGAATATGTTTTGTAAACTTGACTTTTTCTTCTTTTTTCTCCAACGGTTTTTCTTCTTCCTCTTTCTTATCTTTTGGTTTCTTATCTTCTTCTGGCTTTTTCTCTTCAGCCGGTGGTGGAGCTGATGTTTCCTCAACCTTTTTCGTTTTTTTATCATCCGCTTTCGGTTTTTCTTCCACTTTTTTCGTGTCTTTTTTTTCTGGTTCAACTTTTTTCTCATCAACTTTCTTTTTGTCATCCACTTTTTTCGTATCTTTCTTTTCTGGCTCAGGTTTCTTGGCTGGCTCGACGGCTTTCTTTGCTGCAGCTCCCACTGGCTTTTTCTCAGGAACTGCTGCTGGTTTTTTTTCTTCAACACCCTTTTTAAGTGCAGTTTTACCAGCAGGTGTGCTGGCAGGTTTAGCAGCAGCTTCAGGTTCAGCCACAGGAGCGGCAACAAGCGCTGGTTCAGTTGAGGCAGCTGCATCTATTTTGAATAAAAATAAAGATATTCAAGTTTTGTATTTTAAACTATGTAGCATAATTAGGTAAATTCACAAACCTGCCGGGATTTCAGCAACAGCTTCAGATGGTAATTTTTCTTCTTTTTTAGCTTCTGTCTCACTAGCCGCAGCATCGGTCGAAGGCTGAACGGGCTCTGTTGAAGGCGTGGTCTCACTCTCCGGTGGTGCCGTTTCGGCTGCTGGAGCAGCTTCAGTCGTCTGTGAAAAAAAATTTTTTAAGTATTTCATATCCATTCTTGCAAACACATCTTCCTTAATTTGGAAACATGTGAAGATTTTCATTTCGCTAGAGAAAGTTTTAGAATTTCAAGTCTAAATGCTTTTTGTTAATTTTAAGAATAGATACTTGTTCGGGTGAAGCTGATGGTTCACTCGGAGCTGCTGCTTCGACTGACACTTCGTCTTCTTTGTTATATTCGGCATATAATTCATCATCGGCACTAGCGACATGAGCCTTGATGGTTAATTGTGCACTACTATTATCGGAGCCTTCTTCGTTAGAAGCACGACAGATATATTCTCCATCGTCATCCATTTTGACTTTTTTGATTGTAAGTGTTGCAACATCGTCATCATAAGACTCATTAATACGAGAATCTTTGGAAATGGGCTACAAATTTGAAACATGAATAAAATATTTAGTATTTGACCATATTACTATGAACTTACTTCACCATTTTTTAACCATTCAATGTTAGGAGTCGGTTTTCCTTTGACTTCACATCGTAATTTGGCTGTTGAGCCTTCGAAAAAAGACATGATTTAAAAATACGAAAATTGAAATATTTAACGGATTATACCTTCGAACACTGTAACACTCGATAATTGATCGATAAATTTTGGAGCTTCTTTACGCTGTTCTCGTTTTTCTACAAGATTATTAATGATGAATGATGTATTGTTAGATATCAACAACACTGTACACTAAGGCTCCTTACTTGGTTTTTCAGCCTCAGCAGGTTTGTCACCAGCTCCTAATTTTTCTCTCCAATTCGAATCTTTGCCCGATGATCGAACTGGAGACGGTGATCTAGCTCTACTAGATGTATGATCACTCTCTCCTGCCATCGTAGATGGAGCACGACGTGTTCGTCGGGCTTCTAGAGACAACAAAAACAAAAGTAAACTTCCGATGAAATTTGATTGACAGAGACGATAGCAAGCAATTTTGTTAAGAAATTTAAGCACTGACATTTCTACCGTTGCGTAGCATGTGAATTTTTCTTAGAGCAAGAAGCGGGATTTTTTCTGCTAAAGGATGTACCTTCTGTGATGAAAATGAACGCTTAATGTATACGGAAAAAACCTATTTTATTAACCTTCAATGTGGATCATACACGATGTTTCATCGAATCCTAATGGATTAGTGGCATGACATCTGAATGTACCACTATCAGCTACTTCGCAGGAGGAAATTTCTAATGTACAAACACCACTGACGCTGGCTGTTATATAATGAGAATCGCCTTCTGATAATTGAGTACGATCTTTGAACCACTGAACCTAAAGATAACAGACGACTTTCTACAGTTCAATTTTCTAATTTTCATCTATGTGTTCACCTTGGGTGTTGGTTTACCACTAACACAACATATTAATTTACAATTAATACCTTCTTGAATAAGGCGAGGACGTAACAAAAATGTGAACACTGGTTTTGAGTCTGGTTCGCGCCATGTGTCTAATTCTGCGTCTTGAGGTACACGTCGATGATGACTAACTTCTCGCGATTCAATTCTAGGAGCCTCTGGTAGAGCTGAAAAAATAAACAGATAGTTCATTTAGTAACATGTTTCTTGAAACAAAACTGCCATTATAAAAACTTTCGTCAAACAATTTTTCATCACTTATTATAACTGACATACTTCAAAGTTAAAGTCTCTGTTTTGATATTAAACTAGGAGTTCTAGCTTAATGCCGTCGATTTCATGAGCGGTCGTCTATATAATGTATATAAGATCTTTATGCTACACTAACTCTCTATAACATATGATGTAAGAGAATCTGGTCTACATGTATTCGATGTTTGCAGCTCTTTTTTGCGATCAGAGAAAGAGATCATTTCAGATAGCATTAAGTGGAATCGTTTGTGATTGAATGCGGCAGCCTTATTGTAATAATTTTTACATTTAAAACAGTTTGAAGAGATGATAAATTATTGGAAGATTAGAATAAACACTGAATAATATTACTACCGCTATGATTATAAACTTACAACGTGGTCCAACTGATTGTGAACGAGAAAGTAGACGATGTTTGTATAAACAACGATAAGCGAACGGTGATTCAAAATGATGGTGTTTCGGTGAACCACCATAGAGAGCACGAGAAAAACCAGACCAAGACGAATCGTGATAATAGCTCATTGTTGTTGCAATGGATAACTAACTATATGAAATCAATAATTGATATCAAATTGAGAAGAAAAAAATTTTATCTTTAAAAAAACATAACGCGTGATAAATTAAACATACGTCTAAAATCAATAGACTTAAACTTGCACGTGCTGAGAAAAAACAAAAATTAAATGTTGTTTTTTTGTCAGTGTTTCAGAAGCAAACTAATATCTATTATAATTATTATACAGGAAAAAAACCGCATAGATAATGTTGTAAATTATGTTATCTATACTGGTAGTGAAATATGTGTGAAGAAAAAAATGGATATATAGTAAGAAACTTCTCGTCAAGTAAAGTAGTATTAGAGAAAAGAAATAACAACAACAACAATAAACACTATACAGAAAGGCGGATAAACCATGAAAAAATAGTAGTTTTTCTTTTGCCACAGAGAAAAAATTGTATAGAATGTTCTAGGAATTATTAATTCACGTGGTGAAAGATATGTGGTTGTTCCTAAAGAAAATGTTTGCGTAAAGTATTATCCAGATTTTTTCCTCCTCTTTTATTCTTTGTACACTAGAAATACACCAGTTTTTTCTCTTTTTTTTGCTCATACAATACAAGCTTTTTATCAACTTCTAGCAAATATATTTGTTTTCCAGTCAAGTTTTGTGGTTATATATATACCGAACAAAGAGAACAACGAACTCTTCGTTCCTCTATATAGCATAAATACATAATGATATTGTACACGTACAAGTATTTTATTTGTCCTGAGAGACTATACGGGACACTAAATTATTTTCAATATAGTCAAAAAAAGAAAAATATCCGTATATTATAATGTGTCAATAGAAAGCAGACTTCATATCTATACCTAATAATTGTCTAATTATATCGAAATAGACTAAAATTATGTTTTGTTGTTACTGAGCGAAGAATTTTTTCTGTGAATTCGAAAACAGCATAAATCATCGAATCTGATTTATGATTGCAATATACTCGAATATCATATAAAAAAGAAATTTTGATTTGTTTTATAGGTACTGCATTCTACATTTTCTATATATCAGAGCATAAGACGGCAAAAAATATACTAGGATCTGTATTTTGCATCAAAAGATTCAATTTGAGCTGTAAATCAATGCTATCGAACTTGATACTATGTAATAAATCTTTGCTAAGAAAAAATATTTTTATTGACAAAAAAACGAAAAAAAAACGTTGTGCTGAATCGAACTTAATTCTACAACAGATTTCGTGAAACATTTGTATCCAAATCTATGACAGTAATTAAAATTCTGGCTCTTTTTTTTTGCAACAATCTGATAAAAATTTCTAACAAGTATCAGCTTTGCATTAGAATTCTAAAATTAAATATTAAAATTTTAATCTACTCTACTAAATTGGATCAAAATTTCCTATTCTAATATAGAAATCGTTCCATATGAAAAAAAAAGAATTCTATCTCTTTTTTCTGTAGAATATCGTTTTCTGTATAGTATAACGAAGTTTTGCCATTTAGGAAATTATGTTTATTAATGTGTCTCTCATACGTCACAATCAAGGACACAATGCCTACGTAGAATTGACTAAACGCGTTTACGCAAATGGTACAATAATAATGATCAGAACAACAACATCAACGCCATCGTCGATATAGCACAGAAATAGAAAAAAAAGAATAAGAAAAGTGTACTGTAAACGTTGCAGTCAAGGGTCTTATTACAACCTATTTATATAATGATGTTTTAGAGATAAACGAGAATATGAGACTGCTACATTTTGCAAATCTGTTTTCTTCTGCTTTTTATTGATAGATATATATTGTATATCTGTGCATGTGCGTACAATAGTAGCACAAGAGATATGATATCACGCTGATACTTTCTTTTTATGATTTTTAAAGAGAATTTGAGTATATTTTCGTAATGATAAATCTTTTCGACGATTCTGAACATTATGAAATATGAAACACGTCATAAATACAAGAATTTTCGATCACAATCGAGATAAAATAAGAGATTTTATACGCTAATATTTATCAAATATGAGTTGGCGTATCTCTTTTGTTTAAAGAAAACAAATAGAGACGTTAAGCTCTAGAAAACATGTTTCCTTATTCAAGATTAATAGAATTCATTTATTTTATCTGAATATGTATCATCATTAGTAGAACATTTATTTCTCATGCTAGTAGACATTCAGAGCATTTATTTTACACGCGTTCGTATTGAGATGATCATTAATGACTCTGAATCGTATAGAACGACAAAATATGGTACCGAAATATCGTGTCGCTTCGCCATCTATGAAAATAATATTTAGCCTAGGTAATTATTCTCATATCGAAAATATCGAAGTTGTTGATTTTTTTCTCTCTCACTCTATTAAACGCGGTTTAATTGAGATAGTGAATGTTGTTAATTTGAAAGAAAAGTGATACTACAGATGATACTAATCATCGTCATCAATAACGTAAAAGAATGTGAATATTAAAAACGCTTGATGTACATAAACTGATGCGTGTAAACTATTCATATATATATATATATATATATAGAGAGAGAGAGAGAGAGAAAGAGAGAGAGAGAGAGAGAGAGAGAGAGATTTGTTTATCCAACTAGATGATGATGATGATGACGCCAAATGAAAATAAGCTAGATCTGAAACCATATGGCAAACATTTGTTGTCGGATGTAAAGAGTTATTGCATAAAAGATAAAAAGGATAACTAAATGTTCATCATCATCTGCACGTTCATTTATCATCATCGCACGCTATTAAAAATTGTTCTTTTTCTCATCACACAACAAGACAAATCATTTAGACTAAATTATGTGAGTTTAATTATGAGAAACAGAAGAATTATGTAAACATTTACTTAAGAATTTGTTATTATGCATCCTCTGATAAAAGAACGTCAATTCAGCTATAGAGTTAGATTGCCAAGAAGGCAAGTGGAAACTACTTTTAGCACTTATCATAAGTTGTTCAAGATATGCGGTGATATTTATTTTGTGATCAACTTAAGGTCTATAACCAATATAGCTAGAAAATATTGTCAGTCGACATTACTTACATTCTACGGTCAAGAAAACCGCATATTCTCTATCACTATAACTGTTTGTGGCTTTGACAACATATTCTCCTTTATCTTCTTTTATACATCGTTTAATTTCCAATTTATAATTATTTCTGTTATATTTTTTCAAATGTTTTGTTGATTGACGAAGTTCAACATTGTCACGATACCTTAACCGCAAAGATAGTAGAGAGAATATTAGAGTGGATAATATAAAACGTGTTCGTCTGTTATTTTTTCATACCAAGTGACAACTGGTGGCGATGCAGCTATTATTCTACAATCAAATTCAGCATTTTGTCCTTCTAGCACATGTGCGTTCCTTGGACGCAGAATAAATCGTGGTGCAGCTTCACGTCGATCTGCAGAATAGAAATAAGATATCGAATATAGACATTAAATTTTATAGTTATGTACTTCTCCTACCCCAGGATGAATTGTAAATTTTATATTCTTGTGGTTTATTTTTTCGTAGTGAACTCCATCCAGCCATACGACCAATACCGCAAGCTGGATCGGGCATATCAGCCTATTTATTTTTTATAACGTTACGTTATTTACTAACATTTTTCAGTTTTTAAATACTTACATATCGACCTCGTACACGTTGACGAACATTGTCGAAGCGCGATGATGCTATTCTTGTGTCAAGTTCTGATTTATCTTCTCTTAACCATGGATGGTCGAGTGCAGCATGTACGGTCATACGGTCACTGAAATGTGATACAAATTATGAATTTCAATCAAACAAAAGTAGAAGAAATTTTACTTTCGATTTTTTAACAATAATTTTTTGATAAAATCTTTTCCATTATCGGATATATCACTAAATGCTTCGTTTGGAAATTGTATATCACATTTTCGAATATTTTCAATCGTTTCATTATCATTAGCTCCGCTAAACGGCGAGAGACCACTCAAACTAAAAAAATAACATTAATGTCCCATATTAAAAAGAATTTTAAAATTTTTGAGAGAAGTGAAACAAATTTATAACAAATTTAGACATTTCAAAAGACAAACGGAATGATATACTTAGTTTTCTAGTAAGAGGTCATGTAAGTAACTTACATAACATAGGATAGTACACCAGCAGCCCACATATCCGTATAAAAGCCAACAGCATCGTGATCCACGATTTCTGGTGCGGCAAATTCAACTGTTGCTACACTAACTTTAACAACTTCATTTGGAGCAAGTTTCGTAGCCAAACCAAAATCACAAATTCTTAAATGAATAGAAGTTTAGCGAAAGGATGGAAATATTTGGCATTTACGAACACGTTAGTACGCACTTTATATTTGTACTCGTTTTTGTCTCACACATGATATTTTCAGGCTAAAATAAGAATGCAATTTTTAGTTTTTATTGTTCATGATCCGTTTGTTCAAATTAATTACCTTAAGATCGAGATGTACAATATTATTTTCGTGCATATGTTCTAATCCTTGACAAAGTTGTCTCATATATTTTTTGGCTTCATTTTCTGTCATTTTATAATTTGGATCGGCAATACGATCAAATAATTCATCACCCGCGACACTAAACACATGAGTAAAAAATATAAATCATAATGTCTTTTTCAATTACTCTTGATCTCCTTATCAACTTACAATTCTGTGATCATAATCATTTCAAATTCTTCTTCAAATGCATCGTGTAAATGCAACAATTTTTTATGATTTAAATCACTCATCACTTCAATTTCACGTCGAACGGTTGTTTTATCAGCTGGAGCTAACGTGGGAATAAATTTTGCAGCAAATGTTTTACCCGTTGCTCTTTCAATTGCACGATGAACAACACCAAATGCTCCGCTAAACAAAAAAGAGAATTGTTATTCTAGTCATGAACTAGACGTTCTTACCGTCCAATTTCTTCTAAAATATCATAATAATCATGCACGCTTCCAAGTTTTAACGTTGCTGGTTGTGGTTCGCGCCCTTTATCCCGAATATCCCAGACTGAAAATAGAAGATATTTTTATTTCGATTCTTCTCTCATAGTGATTTAAAAACATACAACATCGATCATAATTATCTAATTTTGGTAAATCTTTATTTTTTCGTTTTGAAAGGTCTTCATCTTTATGTCCGCGACTTTTGCGATTTGCATCCACATCTAAAATGACTCGAACGTGGTTAATTTTGAGATGAGAGTTTTTTTCCTGTGTGATATACCTGATGTCTGAACTGGTTTCGTTGGTTCAGATGGTTCTCCTGTGCCGTGAATATTTTCCGCTATTATTCGAAATTGATGCGGCTTATTTGATTGAAGGCTTTCAGCTGTAAAATGTGTAAAACGACTTGTACCACATTTACTCCATTTTCCCGTTTCAGAATCGAGTTTTTCAATAATGTAATTTGTTATAAAAGTGCCTCCATCGTCATCAGGTGCACGCCACGAGATTACAGCCGAACCATCTGATACCGAATCAACCTGTACATTTTGCGGAGCAGTCGGCACATCTAAGAAGAGAAAATGTTGAGTAATTTCAACTAATGATTATGTTATATTACCGGATACATGTAGACGTAATGTTGCTTCGTCTTCGCCGAGATTATTATGTAATTTTATCCTATATGGTCCACTTGTATTTTTATCGGCATTTCGAATTGTCAATGTAATTGCTCGTTCACCAACATCAATTGAGACATTATTTGCTTTTGTTACATCTTCATCTCCATGAAGAAGTGTTACATTCGGTAATGGACTTCCAGTGTATGGTATTTTAATTTGAATATTTTCACCTTTATCATATGTTAATACATCATGATATTTCGGTGGAAGTCGAAGACGAGGAGGAGCTAAAAGTTCATTTAAAATGTGTGAATCAATCATTGATCTACACTAAAACGCATAACTTACATCTGACAGTAACATTACAACGGCACATTCTCGAACCACCTTTGTTTTTTGCTTTCACAGTGTACTCGTCTATATCATCTGGTGTGACATTATTGATCACCATTACATATTTATCACCATCTCTTGATATACTATATTTCGTACTATCGAATAACTCTTTAGTTCCTTTATACCATTCAATTTCGGGTTTCGGCGTACCAGTAACTTCCACTTCCAAACAAACAGTTTTACCTTCATTTGCTTCAACGTTTTTTAGTTTTTTAAGAAATTCTGGTGAAATAGCAGCATTCGGATCCTTAACCTGTATGGTAAAATTTGTTTATTCTTCACAATGTGTCAAACCCATGCTGATCACAACTTACTTTACAAGGTTTTGATGTTTCGGATGGGTTGCCCTTGCCAGCTTCATTTTCAGCAATTACTCGAAATTCATACGTGTGATCTTCGGCAAGATTTGGCACAGTTAATTTTGTATTTTGAGTTGGTGATAAATTGACAGGTGCCCATTTATCGGTACCCTGTTCTTTCTTTTCAACCCAATAACCGGTTATGGGACCACCTGAAAAAAGAATTATTTCTTTGAACATAAATTCTTCCTATTAACCAAATGCATACCCCCATCGGATGTTGGTTTTTCCCATGTCAATGTAACGTTGCTACTTGTCATTTCAGCCACATTCGGTTGTCCAGGTGCACTAGGAGGCTCTGAAAGTAAAAAGAAATGATTAGTTTGTTGTAGCTGAAGAATGTTAAAATAACATACTAAATGAAAGTTTGGCAACAATTGATGAAGAAGAACATAATGGTTCACTCGTCCCATTTTCATTTGTAGCCATAACTCGAAACTCATATTCATGATTTTCCAACAAATTTGGTACAGTGAATGAAAGATCCTTCGTAAAAGACAAAAAATGTTCCTGTATCATGGATATTTTGTCGGAGTACCGTGTTCTACCTTGCATGTTTGAGTAACCGGAATCCATTGATCAGTCCCTTTTGATACATCACGGCGTTCAATAGTGTATCCTTGAATTTTTGAACCTCCATCATCTGTCGGCGGCTTCCACGATAAAGTACAGTGATCTTTCGATATATTTGAAATTTCCAGTGGTCCTTGTGGTGATGTTGGAGGTGCTAATAAAAAATTTTTTGTTAATTTCAACGAATGAAAGTTCACAGTTATTTATACCTGTTACTTTAACTTTCATTGGAACATTAATAGAACCGGAATCGTTTGCTACATTAATAACATACTTTCCGGTATCGTCACGGTCAACGTCTACATCCCCAAAAGACAGAAATTTTAATCGGTTTCATTCGGGTACAATAGACATACCTGGTATTGTCATAACAATGTAATCATCAAATTCTTGGACACGGACACGTTTATCTGAATCAGGTATAGTTTGATCGTCTTTTTTTACTTTAAACGTATACGGTCCTTTGCCGTTGATGGGAATTTTTACTTTTAATGTATCACCGAGCTTCACTTTTTGATCACCTGGTTCTCGATCCAATTTCGGTGGAGCTAATAATGATAATCATTTTCTAGGCATCTGTGATATGTATGATGCTTCATGACTTACTTTTGACATGGAACAGTGCTTCACACGATTCTTTTCCTAAGGGGTTTACTAATTCACAAGTGATCGTTGAATTATTATCAGCATCCCATACTCCCAGAAATGTTAAAGTTGACGTTGAATTGTTCGGCTCTGTACTAATTCGATAGCGTCCACTTGCTGAAAGTTCCATACCATTTCGAAACCATTTTACTTCAGGTGCCGGATTTGCATCATACTCAACCGTGAATGAAGCTTCACTGTTCAATGCTGCGTTAACGTCCACTATTTTCTTTGAAAACGTTGGTTTTCGACCATCTAAAGGTAAGCAATGACCTATTATCAACACTGAGATGGAAAAAATAATAGATATCATACTTGGAAATTCAGAGATTTTTACACGATTTGTTGCTACACTTGGCTCGCCTTCACCCGCTTTATTGACTGCTTTCACGCGGAATTCAACTTCACTATTTTCAATTAAATCTGCAACCGTCACATTATTATCTACTACTAAATATGGAACAGCTCTTATCCATTGATCGCTTTCTGGGGATTTTTTCTCAACAACGTAACCTAAAATTTAAGCAAACTAAGAAGTGTTCAACATACGAATTCTAAAAGATTCTTTACCTGTTATTCTACTTCCTCCATCGTTGATCGGTGCCGACCATGCCAAGTCTACATAGTTTTTACCAACTTTTTTCACTTCAGGTACATTTGGTGGGCTTGGTGGTACTAAAAATAATTCCATATGTTAGTTTGACATGGCATTTTTCACCCCTTACTAATTTACCATAATTGGGTTTTAATGTGACTGATTGATCAAGTATCGTCGGTTGACTCCAGCCAGCAGCATTTTTGGCTTTTACACGAAATTCGTATAGTTTATTCGGCTGGAGATTATCAACAGTTAATTCTGTTCCTTTCACTGGGAAATCAGTAACGGGCACCCATATATCACTATCAGGTTTTCGTATTTCAACCTGATATTGTGTTACTTTCGATCCGCCATCATTTTTTGGCCGATCCCATTTTAATGTTATGGCATTCTCGGTTTGATTTCGCACTTCAAGATTGCATGGACCTTGGGGAGCACCTGAATGGTACAGAGGAATTTAGTGGTCTATGTGGAATGTAGAAAACTGTAATACTAAATACGTACTGAATGGCTTTTTAGCAACAATTGATTTTTCACTTTCGAGTGGTTCACTCTGTCCAATTGCATTTTCAGCGGTAACGCGAAATTTATATTCGGTACCTTCGTTAAGTCCAACAACCTCATAAAAGGGTACACGACAAAAACTTGATACTTTTTGCCAATCGCCTTTTTTTGTGTCAAATTTTTCAATTATATAATTGCTTATTGGTGAATTGCCATCACTCTTAGGTGGTTTCCATTGTAGTATACATGAATCTGGTCTTATGTCACTTATTTCTAATGGGCCTTCACATTTATCAGGTTTATCAACAACGATCACTTTCATTTGAACGATATCTTGACCAAGTGGATTTTTGAGTAAACATGAATAGGTGCCAGAATCACTCCCTTTCACTTTTGGTATTAATAATTCAGCAACACCATCTTTAACAGTTATCTGAGTGTTGCCGTCGGAGTGCAAATCATTACCACCTTTTGTCCAATTTGTTTGTGGTATGGGAGAGCCAACAAAGGGCACAGAAATTCTCAAATTTTCACCAGCACGTACAGTTATTTCTTTCGGACCAAACCCAAAACCGACGGCTTTCGGTGCAACATCTGGAGGGCGAGCAGTAATCGCACTTTCAGTTTGTGCTGTAAGAAGGGTAAAAACAAAGAGAGTATGCAAAGAATAATTACAAAGAAAGATATCAACTAATCGTACCATATTCACTTGGACCAGCCTTATTGACCGCAGCCACACGAAATTCGTACTCTTTACCATTAGTCAAACCAGGAACAGTGTGTTCTTGGCCAGCAACTGGTTCTCGATTTACTCTGAAACATGAGCATAAAACTTTTCATAAGTGGCAAATGTTACGAAATTGTAAAAATGGATCTTTTGTCTAAGTATTTTACCACGATATTGTATACAAGTTAATTAGACTAGCAAGAAAAGAGTCGTAAAAAGTATATACTTACGGTATCCATCGATCCGTTCCTTTTTCTTTTTTTTCGATAAGATAGCCCTTTATTGGACTTCCGCCGTCATAAGATGGCCTAGCCCATTGTAACGTAACAGAGTCACTAGTATGGCTAGCACATTTTGGTGTGCCTGGTGCCTCCGGAGAATTGAACGCCCATTTAGCTTTAACTGGAGAACCGATTTCCAGTGGTTCACCCAAACCATTTTCATTTTCGGCTGCAACACGAAATTCATAACGTTTTCCATCTTCTAACCCTTTAACATCACAAGTTGTTCCCGATGACGGTGGTCCTACTTTGGTCCATCTAGATGAGGCAACAAATATACCAGTAATGTCAATAAATACATATAAATGCATATTCTCACTGTTCTGTTCCAGCTTCACGTTTTTCAATAACATAATGTTTAACATCATTTCCACCATCATCTGTAGGCGCTTTCCAATTGAGTGTACAACCTTCGCCTGTTACATTGGTTGCTTCAAGTGGCCCCTCTGGCTTTCCAGGATGATCAAGTACAGTAACACGAAATTTTACTTGACTTGTCCCTTCACGATTTTTTAATACAAGTTTATAGGATCCAGTATCAGATCGTTGAGCCTTATGATTTAACAGCGTAACAACGTTGTCTAATGTCTGAAAATAACATCATATTAACTATAGTTGTAGCAGAGAAATAAAATATTATATACTTGTATGACGACACGATCATCACCAGCCAAATTTTTATCATCAACTGTCCATTCAGTAGTTGTTTGTGGTATGCCTTTATAAGGTAAAGTGCCGAAAATTCGAAAATTCAGCAGGTTTTTATTTTTGCATTTTTTATACATGGTTGGATAGAGCACATCGAGCGGATTCAGAAAATATATGTTCTAATGTTTGAAAAATTATTTTCATGTCGAAAAATTGAAAATACTTTAAGGGTCTAAATTTTCAAAATACGCTTCGGTTTCAAAAAATTTCACATTCTTTTCTTTTTCGTTCTTCAAACATTTTGAACGTATTTTTTCAGATTCAGTATTAAAAACTAAGAAAATTCCTTTTTCATAGGTCACGAGTGAAAAAATCGGAACTCTGATCGTAATTTTCGATTTTCTCCATCAGAACTCATCTTCTATCCAATACAAATATCATATTCAGAAATAGTGTCAAAAACTGAGTCGAATGACACACTTTGTTTTCCTGACGAGCATTTTAAGTTGTTTTTGAATTTTCACGTCACTTAGATTTTCACCAAAAATAAAAATCATCAAAACGTTTTGAAATATATATCATTCGACTCAGTTTTTGACACTATTTCTGAATATGATATTTGTATTGGATAGAAGATGATGTCTAATGGAGAAAATCGAAAATTCCGGTCAGAGTTCCGATTTTTTCGCTCGTGACCTAGGAAAAATGAATTTTCTCAGTGGCGAATCAAAATAAAAAAAGCGATTTATACTTCTAAAGCTCGGTTAATGGCGGCTCTAATGAAATAAAAAGCTCCGCTTCATCTCTTCACAAACAAAACTAGATAGATTTACAAAATTGTTTATGAACGTCTACTAGGCGAGTCCAAGGCGTTTATACTGGATAGACCTTTGACTTCAACGTCAAGTAAACATGATTCTCATACTCAGTTTTTAATGCTGAATCTGAAAAAATACTTTCAAAATGTTTGAAGAACGAAAAAGAAAAGAATGTGAAATTTTTTGAAACCGAAGCGTATTTTGAAAATTTAGACCCTTAAAATATTTTCAGTTTTTCGACATGAAAATAATTTTTTCAAATATTAGAACATATATTTTCTGAATCAGCTCGATGCGCTCTATCCAACCATGTATAAAAAATGCAAAAATAAAAACCTGCTGAATTTTCGGATATCCGGCACCTTATTTGAACTTTGAAATCTTTTCCCGCAGGTACAGTAATATCTTTGACATCATCAAGAAAGGCTGGTTTTTCTAAAGTAAACATGCATTTTAATAGCTTCTTCTTGAATCATAAAGATTGTTGTTATACCTAGTTGATCCCCAATTTTAATTCCGTCTGTCGAACGGCTTGGTTCACCTGGTCCTACAGCATTCACAGCTCGAACACGAAACATAAGTTCATCACCTTCTGTAAGATTCGGAATAGTGTACGAATGGTCACGAGCCGACAACTCAGTTCCCACTTGTTCCCAATCGTGGCTTTCAACAAGAATAAAACAGTGTAGGATAGGAATGGTGAAAAGTATGACGATCGTTACCTATCAGGTGAACGTTTTTCAATGACATAACCAGTAATTCGACTGCCACCATTGTTCAGAGGTTTTTTCCATGATAGTGTTACCGAATCTTTTGTGACTTTTTCAACTTTTGGCTGATCTGGAGCATCAGCTGGAAATATTGGGACTTCAGCTTTTTGCGCTTGTGTGGGTTTACTTGGTGTTCCCGGTCCAGCCTCATTCACAGCAGCTACACGAAATTCATACGTTTGTCCTTCACGGAGGCCAGACGCTATATACTCAGTTGCTGTTGTTGGAAAATTGTTACATAGTTTCCAATTACCGGTATTTTTCTCGCGCATCTCCACATTATAACCTATAAATGTGATCGTAATCTATCCAACTGATACTGATTTTATGCTGATACATATGGACAACATTCTTTATGAGCACTATACCTTGTATTGGATTTCCACCATCTTTCGAAGGTTTCTTCCATTTTAATTTTATATAACTTGAGTTATAATCTATTATCTCGGGCACATCAGGAGCATCAGGAGTATCTATTAGTAAAGTATTGATACAATTGTGAACAATTGCGAGAAACAAAGAACATACCATACGGTGGCTTAACAGTAATGGCTGAAATTGTTTCTAATGGTTCTCCAACACCAAAAATATTTTCAGCTTTCACTCGAAATTTATATGTTTTATTTGTATCTAAACCTTTAATTGTCCCTTTTGGCTGACTGAATGCACCTGACACTTTTTCCCAATTGTCACTATTCTCCAGACATTTTTCAATTATATAGCCTATAGAGCAGAAGTTATCAATTAGTTAAATCATAAGTTTACTAAATTTTGCAGACTTACCAGTAACGTCACTACCGCCATTTTCCTTGGGAGGTTTCCATTGTAATGACACCGAATTTTTTGTTGTTTCGGTAGCGGTTAACGGACCTCCCGGTACACCTGGCTTACCTTAAAAACGGTAGTAACATCATAAAGCAGGTGTAAAACAAATACAAAATCAAAACTATCCTACCCATCACAATAACATCAATATCGCACTCATCTTCGCCAGAAGCATTTTTCAATTTCACTTTATATTTTCCTGCATCAGTACCCTTTGAACTCGGTTTATAAAGTTTTGCATGAATATCATTACTTTCCAACTGTGTGCTATAATCAAACATCTGTATTGCAGATAGAATAAAGCAAAGTGGTTCTAACTCACTCTCTTGTTGGTTGAACATCTTCCCCATCTTTTATCCAAGTAATAGTTGGTGCAGGGGAACCACTTATGGGTAAATCAATTGTTAGTGGTTCACCAGCTTTAACACGAATTTCTTTCTTTCCTAGAGGACCAAACAGCGCACTTAAATCAAACGAAGGTTTTTCTAAATGAATTATCAAACATAGAATAAATTGAAATATCACTGAAAATAAAAAAGGTCTAACCATTTTCTGGTTTAGCAAAAATGCCTCCAGTTCCAGTGCTCGGTTCTCCAGGACCAGCTTCATTGACGGCTGTCACCCTGTATTCATACTCTTTTCCTGCCGTTACATTTTCATCAACAAAATTTGGCGTCTAAAATTATCACAGAAATTATCCAAAGTTTTCCCGAAAGGAAACTGAAATATATACCTTATTTAAATCACCTTTGGTGATTTTGCTCCAGTCTTTTCTGTTTGCCGTTTTGTCTCGTCTTTCTACTATGTAGCCTTTGATAGGTGAACCGCCATCGTTTCGTGGAGGAGACCATTTGATTTCAATATGATCGCGATCACGACTAACACATTCAGGCGATCCGGGTTGACCGGGCTCAGTAAATGGATTTTTGACATGTACAGCTTTTTCTGTTACTAACGGTTCACTTAGACCATTAGAATTTTCAGCCATTACACGAAACTTAAATTATTATGATAAAAATTATTAAATAGAGCTAGAAGTAAATAGACTTCATTTAAAATACCTCATATTCGTGTCCTTCTTTTAATTTTGGTATAGTTACTTGTGTACCAATGACAGCATCATTAACACGAATCCAGTCTCCGCTTTTTTTATCACGTTTTTCAACAACATAGTTCCTACATCCAATACGAGTATAGACAGGGCTTCAGTAAAAAATAAAAACAACATACGTGACTTCTTTGCCACCCGTATCTTCTGGTGCTTTCCATGCCAAAGTAACACTGTTTTTTGTTACTTCTTTAACTTCTAACGGGCCACGAGGTATCGATGGTGGACCTGAAAGATTTACATGTTATTTCAGGGACGAAGAGGAATTTGAATGCTAATCGAGTTTTTTCCACATACCGAGTACAATAACTTCACATTCTGCTTGTTCTGATCCAGATCCGTTAACTAATCGGATCATATATTTTCCGGTGTCAGCGCGTACAGATTTATTAATAATAAGTTTTGCTAATTTTTCGGTAAGTGTGGCTTGTATGCGATCATTAGGTTGTATTTCCTATATAAAGTTAAAAATCTGTTAAATTAAGTCTATATATAATGCAGTACATACCGTCGATTGTCTAAGCCATGTCATTGTTGGTAATGGTTCAGCAACAAATGGTGCTTCTAATGTGACTGTTTGACCTTGTTTGACCGTAACAGATTTTAAAGCAAGTCTACTTATTTTTGGTGCCACTAGGAGAAACAATCATATTGTAATACCTCTTACATTCAGTAACAAATAAATTTACTCACAAAATCGTGATTTGGCTACGACGAGCTTTGTTGGCTTGCTAGGTTCACCCAGACCAGCTTTATTAGAGGCAATCACTCGAAACTAGAATCCAAACTGGGTACAGTGCTAATTCGATTGCAATGGACTAGTTTACATAAGATTTAGAATGAACCCATCACACTTTACCGCTCCAAGGTGTTCAAAACTCATAAAAATCACCTTATTCAGTAAGATCGATCCTCTTGAACGTTTTCCGTTTGACATATCTAACGAGATCTACTCGAAAAGAAACGATTCCATCATATCATCACTACGACCGTAAAATGACTTTTTCTCTCTAATTATTGAGTATTCAGCATAGTGTAATTTTTTCGTAGGTCACGACTGCATCACTTGTCGATCACTTTTTCCTATCAAACGAAATGGCATCTCTAAACTTTAAATAGCGTTATCTGAAAAGTCTCAGTTGATCCCAGGAAAATATTTGTCGCATCTGCATGAAAATAGCCAGGAGTTTTGGAGTTGTGTAGACTTGTACACTACATATTGTTTTATCTAGAGCATGTTGTTAGCATGAAAAGTCCAACGTTTTTTTTTGTCCTTAGTCTTTAGAATTTCATCTGATGTGGTCCACCATTACAGCTTTAGACTTTGAGTTTGATTTTTGGCAGAGTCAAATAGGCACAAGTTTTTATCGTGAAGTGACAGTCAAAGTGTATTACTTGAATATTGAATTTTGTAGAGTTTCTAAAGGATATGAAGTTTTCAATCCGTGTAATAATGACTTACGCAATGTGATACACTATGAATGATTAGTCGCGACCTACGAAAAAATTTAGTACTTAGTTCATAAAGACTGTTGACAGACTCCTCTAACAAATTTCCTATTAATCTATGTTGTAGAGCTTCTCAAAACACATCGAATAATGTATTACACTATGCTGAATACTCAATAATTAGAGAGAAAAAGTCATTTTACGGTCGTAGTGATGATATGATGGAATCGTTTCTTTTCGAGTAGATCTCGTTAGATATGTCAAACGGAAAACGTTCAAGAGGATCGATCTTACTGAATAAGGTGATTTTTATGAGTTTTGAACACCTTGGAGCGGTAAAGTGTGATGGGTTCATTCTAAGTTTTATGCAAACTGATCCGTATGTTGAAAATACCTCATATTCTTTTCCTTCCATCAATAATGGACAAGTTCCTTTAGTTCTTTGCCCTTCAATTTCAGCTCCCTGCGAATCAAAATTGAAAATTCAAAAAAAGAGTAATAGTGTGCATAATAGAACAAAATTATGTCTCACCTTTTGCCATTGATCTCGCCCTTTTTCTCGTTTCTCAATTATATATTTTTCTATTTCTGCACCACCATCTCTCTCTGGTGCACTCCATTGTAAATCAACATGATCTTTATCCCAATCGGTCACTTCAGGTTCACCAGGCGCACTAGGCTCGTCATATGGATTTTTTGCTACAGTTGTTGCTGTTGTTTCCAGACTTTCACTTTCTCCTTCTTTATTCACGGCACGCACACGAAACGCATAATCTCTACCTGGTGTCAATTTCATTAATTTTAATGACGTAGCTTCTCCATAAACTTCACCGGCCTAGAACAAAAGTATGTAAAACTGTTGACTAGTCTACGGTTACTTTCACTCACAGGTGTCCAACCGCCACGTGAAACATCTTGTTTTTCTACAATATATTTTTCTACTGCAGAACCGCCATCGTCCAATGGTGGCTTCCATGACACAACACATGTTTCTTTGGTAACATCCGATACTTTCAATGGACCTTCAGGTTTGCCGGGTTTGTCTACAATCAAACCAATGAATCAGTGAATCTATCAGAACGAAGACACAGTTTTTTACCAATAACATTAACATTAATTGGAACTTTGATTTCTCCTTTGCTATTTCTCAATGTGAATTCGTATTTTCCCTTATCACCACGTTTTGTTTTTTCAATTGCTAATTTTGCTCTTTTTCCATCCATTGTTGTTTTACATACATCATTATCAATACTTATTCCATCTTTTGTCCAATTACCAGTCGGTTGTGGAAAAGCTTCATAGGGTATTTCTAGATCGAGTGGTCGACCAGCTTTAACTGTTACAGATTTTGAAAAACGTGAAACATCAATTTTTGGTGGTTTATCACCTAAAATAACAAAAAGAATTTTGTTATTCTTACTTTCTATAAAACTATTAACATACATTCTTTGATTGTAATCTGACAACTATCTTTTAAATCACCACATGAAAATTGTATTTCACCACCATCTTTCAATGAGAGATCTTTGAGCGTCAAACGATATTTATTTCCATCGTTTATTATCACAGTTCTAGAAGACAAGAAGAAAGTAGTTTTCTTTCAAATTAGATAAAATTCAATACTTTTGATCTGGATATAGGGCTTTTCCGTCTTTTGTCCAACGTGGTCGTTGATCAGATTTATTAAGCTCAACTTCTAAAACAAGTTCATCTTCTTCTAATCCATCGACATCTTTCAATTTTTTCTCAATTCTTAGTGCAGCTAAATATAAAAGCAAATGCGATCGTTTAATACGCACTTTATTAGAATTTTTTAGCGTTTCTTACGTCTGATAGTTAATTCTGTTAATGTTGCCATTACACCTGTTTTACATTCATATTTTCCTTTATCTTCCAGTTTAAGTTTTTTAACAATCAGTTTGCGTACTTGTCCATGGGATATTACTTCATATTTATCCGTATTAAGGTCTGGTATTATTTTCTATAAAACAGGTAACATTTTTTTTTCGTTTAAATTACCACTCTATTTCATAAACTTACATCTCCGTTATAAAACCAATCACATTCGGCATCTTCATCTTGGACAGTACATTCTAATATAACTTGATCATTTTCATCAGCTTCCATAGTTGGTGGTAATTTTGTTTCAAAACGCCATTGTGGTTCTAAATGAGTAATAACAACATAATATGCAAAGAGAAAGATAGCGAGATCTCTTACCTTCAACGTACAAATAGCCAACTGTTTTAACGCCACGTTCATCATCTATTTGACATGTATATTCCCCCTCATCGGCTTTTGTTGTTTTATTAATTCGAAATATACAACGCGTCATATCTTGATAAATTCGAAATCGTTTATCTGTTTCTGACTATAACAAAAAAACAAAGAAACAATTTAAATTCACTATGATCTACCTAACAAACTAGCAAGAGCTCATACATTAATTGGCTTTCTTCCCTTGAACCATTTAACGGGAGCTGATGCGTCATTGACATGACATTCAAGAGCAGAGGGTTTTGTTCGAAATACTTCCATTTTAGCTGGTAATTCTTTATAAAAGTCATACAATGGACGTGCAGCTAAAATTAAATAAAAGATCATCAGTTCGACAAAGAAAACTACTGAAGAAAATTTCATTTTACATACGTATTACTTCTAGCCAAGCTGATGTTTCTGTGTCATTCACACGACAAAAATATTTGCCACTATCATCGGGATGTAATTTATAAATTTGTAATTTATGTCGTGTTCCACTTGAATCAAAATGATATTTTAAACCATGAAATATTTCTACTTTATTTTTCATCCTAGAAATAGATATATAGAATGTTATTGTTATCAGACATAAACATATGACTATACTACCATCTTAATTTTCCACTTGATTTTGAGAAAACACATTGAAATGTTACGTCACCATCTTCTTCTTTACACTTAATATCTTGCAGTCCTTCAATAAAAATTTCCTTTTCCTAAAATTTTATTTAAAAAATTAACAATATTACTATATTAATTAAAAACATAATAAACGCTATACGTACATTGTATTAAACAAAATCAACGCATACCATGCATTTTAATAAACGAATGATTGGTTCATGCTCACTGCAGATTATTGTTTCATGCTAAATGCTTTTTTTGAATTTAAATTTATCGAAGCATTTATCCAAAATTTTTTTGTTATTTATTCGATTATGTTTGTATTTATATATATATATATATGTATGTGATAGCAAGTGTTCAAAACAATTAAGCGAGTATTATTTTATGCATATTTCACTAGAAATGTAGACGTGTATTTCACCTTCATCGCTTTAATAGTTTTATTAAGTTTTGGCCAATCAGGAATGACATCGGCCAATGATGGACGTCTTGTTTTTGAATCACGACGTACTTTCAACAAGTTTTCTTGATCAACATGACGTAATGATGTACGACGATCGTCCATAATAGAAGAACGTCGTGATGAAGTATATTCTTCAGTACCAGTCTATTTATTTGATACAAAAAAAAAATAATAATATAAACACATAGACGAGGAATAAAAAATAATGAAATAGAGTTTGTTCCATCTAGATATCAATTCAAACAAGGTAAAAATTTGTATTATTTATTTAATTGTGAAAAATTGAATATTTTAAAACAGAGAAAACAGCCTATAAGATATCTATGTGTGATCGTCTGCCTAACGAAGAGTTTCTTCCTTTGAACATTCTTACTATCTAAATTTTAAATTATAAGACAATTGATCTTACCTCTTCAGGTTGATTAGTTCGAATTTCTGGAGTATCGGCTAAAAAGAAAGAGAGAACTATTGTAATAAATATAAAACACGATAGAATCACGATTATTCATGCAAATTAAACAAAAATGAATTAAGTTACATGCAAAATAATAAAATAATTTCTAGAGACTATTTTTGGATAACTGATTTAGAGCTAATCTATTCTATCTAGCAATTTCAAGAAAAATGGGAAATATTTTGAATAACTATATTTTAAATCTGACTAATCCATATCTTCTTCATCCACTTTTTGTTTATCAAATTCATGACGCTTTAATACATCGCGAAAATCCACTCCATCCTTGACTAGAAATAATTTTAAAAAATCTATATATAATTGCATGCAAAAACAGGCGTTTAAATAGTTATATTAGCAAAGCAACATCTTCTCCTATAGGATTTTAAACCACATTCTGTTTATTACTTTCATTTCAGACATTATTTTATGATTTCTGATGGATTATTTTTTAAACAGAGAAAACAGTCTATAAGGCTGTGGATATTTATATCATTAAACGATGAATATACTGCTCTATTGTGATATTTGCTTACGTTTAATAAATATTTTAAAAATCACTTGTTCATTGCTATATTCATTATGAATCAATGTTCCATATATTGCATCATCATCTTGACAACATTTTATTATTGTTAATGTGCATATACCAATTCGTTGATCAATTTCCGTATAAGATCTGACATTTTCAGCTACTTCCCGAGAGCCGTTCCATCCACATTACTTTAGGAAATGGATTGCCGTCCATAACAGTCTCAACAAAATCACGTTCACCTACAAATCGTTTGTACGAAATTCTGACTTCACACATTCAACATATCAGTGAGATTATCTGTTAATATGAATTTCAGTTGATTCTATTTTCTAATTAGATACAAGAAATACATTGGCTAGCTATAAACTATTATAGAATGATACGAAATCTATAATGACAAATAATAACGAAAGTAAAATTTGCTGACTTATCTTATCAGAAATCTATATGGAATTATTCTACTAACTATTTGCTTAATGACCTTCTTTAACAAACCTACAGTAGCATAGTGCACATTGGGCATTTTCCAGTAGAGGGAACATTTGATTTTTAGATTTAGAAAGCAGTTATTTATTTGTGTTTAATATTACTCTATTATACATCAAACATTGATAAAAAGCCAAAAATATCAAACTCGAAAAAAATCTTCTTTTCATGAAAAATCCTTAAGGGGAGGAGACTCTTGCCCTAAAATTTTGTCGAAAACATTTTTATTACTAAAATAATTGAATTACACATTATTATATGCAGTTTTATGTGCTGATTTCAAATATCACATTAGTTCTTTTTATAAAAATGCTTTCGAGCAGAGAAAAACGGCAAATACATGGAAAATCATGGGCTTTTGAAAAACCTATAACTCGACTTTGGAAAATATGGCCATTTTTGTGCATTCACAATAGGTACAGCATATGTCAACGAACATTTTGATGTAAATCGGAGTCAGATTTGACCTTTCTAACGTTCGCGTTCTCATCACACTAAACAAAGCTCTCGGAAACACAGTTTCAGTTGGAAAAACGCTTTGTTTCGCTTATCGACTTAGTCTATACTAAAAACGTTTTTTACTGATAAATAGCTGGAAAAGCTTAGACTCAAAATGTATACCTTTTATAACATTAAAATGACTTAACTCAATAATAATTGATTTTTCCGAGAAAGTCGCTAATATAGAGGCTATTTTTAACTTATACATTTTTTCCACAAGTTCACCACTTGTAACAAAATTTTTTACATCATTAGATAGCCCATAGATCAAAGTATATTTGACACTATTTGAATTTTTAGAAAAACACACTTTCGATTTTTTGTCAAATGTCCGCCTGGGTGCCCACTGTGTAGTGTAAATGCAAATCCAAAAGCATGCGTAACGTGTGATTGTATAAGTCATATTATTTAGATACAATATATGAGTGTATATATATATATATGCATGCATACTATTGTTTTCTTAACATACCTGACAGTTCTGAAATGGCTCCTAATTTTGTTTGTGATAAACGTTTCGCTCTATCTGATGGTTTTGCTCGTCTGGGTCCTTCTTC